GCTCAGCTCACGGCAGAACTTTGTTTTGATCGGCAGCATGGCGGCCTTGTGGCCAATCACATGTGAGGATTTAGCGCCACAGCTTCTGTTATAACGGAGATGCGATGCTATCTTGAGTAGCCCCTCATCCAAAGAGCAGAAGACCCACTGAGCTGGTGGCAGGCCAAGTCCTCAGTCTTCCCCCACCTGGTGAAGGCGATGGAGGGGAGACAACATCTGTTCCCTCTGAGAGAGTCTTCTCAAAAACAGGGCACATGATCACCGTGAGGAGAACCTGCATCAGTCCAGCCAAGCTGAGACATTTAATTTTTTTGAATGCAAACCTGCACTTAGGACATACTGTTTGGTGTTTGATAAGGCTTCTAATAAAAACACTCAATTCAAAAGGGTTTATCAACACACGTTCATCTTTGCCAAGTTAGGCTAAAATATGAGGTTACAGATGATAATAATAAATTAAGAGCCGCTTGGGAGCCGAAAGAGCCGGCTCTTCTCTGGGAGCCGTGCCACAAGAGCCGACTCTTTGAAAAGAGCCGAACTTCCCATCACTAGTGTGTCATTGCCTGGTTTGAAAGGCATGTCACCCTCATGTTATCAAACAATGACACCTTGCCTTAAAGCAAGAAACTACAAAAACAAGAAGCATGATTAGATTTTTAACTTTCCAGCTAAGACCTTCAACTACTCATCTGAAAATGTACCCAAACCTAATCTCAAAATATATTTCAATAAATGTCTCTTTTTAAAAAAAAAAAGCCAAAAATAAACAGTTTGCAATAACTTGATTCTGTAAAAAACAAAAAATTCTGTGCTCCTAGTTGCACCTGTAAAGCCTTAAATGACTCAGATGTGACCAACAGTCATGTGACAAAAAAAAAAACAGAAACTTTTCACCTGAGCTGCAGACACAGCTCCTACACCAAGCACAAAACAGTCAAGTACATCAACAAATTAAAAATGGAAAAAGTAAAGCCGCCATTTTTTTCCACTGAAAAAAAAAACGTTGATTCCATTTTTTTTTTGCAAATTTCTGTAAAATAAATTCTCAAAGAAACTCAACTTTAGTTTTTTCTTGTTTTACTTTTTTTTTCTTTTTTTTCATTTTTATGCTGCAAAGAAGACACATTTCAGTTCTCTTTATCTCTAACAACAGTTGTGCAGTTTCCACAGAGGTGCAGGACTTTATACTGCAGAAAGGTTCCACATTAACCTGAAGACACATTAAGAGAAGCCTGGATAGTTGTAGAAAATAAGAGAACTATCTAAACATTACTAGACACAACAACATTCCACCTCTGTCTGAGCAGCTCACAGCAGTAGTCCAACCAGCTCATCTAGAGCTGCTCCAGGATCAGCTCATGTTCACTAGTTCCTTGTTTCCCAGTGACTCAACCCAGTTATGGAACATGTGTTTACTCTCTGTTTACTTTTCTACGTCACTGTTTTTCTGTCGAGAGCAAAGATGTCCAGATACTAGATTATACGTCCAGTGTTGGTTTCCTTTTTCAGCTCCCAGGTGTGTATTTATCGTCTCATTTCCCTCCTTCCGTTCCTTCCAGGATGAAAGGGCCACTTCTGTACATTTTCTGTCCACTTCCTGGTACAAGTGCTTTGGAAATATCTGCATTTCTGTCTGTGTTAACCCTACTCCGGACTTTCATGTTGCCTTACGTAGAAGGTCTTTCAGGGTCCAAAGAAAGAATATGTGCAAAATATTTGTTGGTATTCATTCTAGACTTTTAGATTATGTTAAATACATTTTCTGATAAGTTGATGTATTTTTGGTTCCAAATGCATGACAAATGTCCCTCTTTTTATATTTAAAAAAAAAAATAAAAATCTTCAAAAAAAACCCAAAACAATACCTGTCACCTAAACCAAACGCCCTGAATAGGGTTAAAATACAGTCAGATCTTCATCTAAGCTACAGTCAGGAATAAACACAATCTAGTTTACCTACATACACCTATTATTGTGTTGTTCTTGTCCTTACTGAGCGTTATCATTCAACTCATCTGTCACAAAAACTAAGCAAACCTCTCGGCTAAGGTTATCCACAAAGGCTAACTGGGGTCAGGAGCTGCCAAACTTGGAGTTCAAGCAATGCAACAAGAACACATGTGTGGGTTACAACTAATGTGACTCATAAATAACCCGCAAATGTTTGGTTGTCACCAAAAAGATCAGTAAAAACAAGTTATAATAATAAATAGTTCTTTATTTGCATCAAACTGATAGTGGCTATGAAGTCATCTGAGAAAGTTTTAGAGTTTATCAGTCACATGGACACTATTTATGACTCCCTAAAAGTTCACCTATTGTGACAATGCAGATTGCTCAGTGAAGTCAAAAAGCAGCCCAGCGAGTCGACCAAACACAAATCATGGTGCATATTTGCATGCAGCCCTGTGACCTCAAAGGAAGCTGCTGCTGCTCCCCAGAAATCATCACTGCACATGCAAATCTTCCCACAGAGCATCTTGATGTGTTCAGATAATACTCTGAGGTCATTTCAGCTTCTATTAGACGGTCAATAGACACTGACAGTAAATATGGGTAAAGACCTGCGATCAAACTAAAATGACTCCCACCTCAAGTATGAAGCAATGCAACATTTTACCTTCATACTGGGAATATTTTCTGACTTACAGGCCATTTAAGGACTTTTGAAGTCGCATTACTTTTTTCAGAATTTTTTTTTAGGCCTCATAACTTTACTTAATAATAACCATACTTTTTGTACAAAAGGTCGACAAGAAATTTTCAAGGATTTCAAGAAACTCAGTTGAGGTCTGTTGAAAACTTCCAGACCAAATTAATGTTAAATGAACTCCAGGTGTCACAATCTGAAGCCAAAATCTCATTTTTGCTCAGTGTGATTGTTCTGTAACCAACTTTGAGCACCAATATCATGCAATATATCATAGTGTCAACAGGAAACTGCACCAGTTTAATGTCCATGACAGAGAGTGATAGAAACAATCTTGAATGTGTTCATTGTTTTCTAATAATTCACTAAAGAAAACTTTTTAAAAGGTGCATTTTCGGTAAACTTTCAAGGTAAATGGTAAATCGACTGCACTTATATAGCGCTTTTCTACCTTAGCAACACTCAAAGAGCTTTACAATGTGTTTCTCATTCACCCATTCACACACATTCATACACCAGTGGCGACAGAGCTGCCATGCAAGGTGCTGCCTGCCATTGGAAGCAACTTCGGGTTCAGTGTCTTGCCCAAGGACGCTTCGCCAACCTTACAATGAGAGGACAACCGCTCTACCACCTGACCTGGTAAAAAGGAGTTACAACAAATAATCTCATTTTGTAATCAGGCTCATCTTTCAGCCATGATTACTTCTGTGTCAAAAAATGTTTAATATCGGCATTTCGGTGCAGTTTTGCTGTTGAAACTAAGACACATCATCTATGACGTGATACTGATGCTCAAAGTTGCTTAAAAATTGTGCTGAACAAAAACTAGATTTTGGCTTTCGACTGTGGCACTTTGGGTTCATGTACAATTGACTTTGTTGCAGTTTTTCCAAAAGAGCTCAAATGTTTTTTTCATCCCTTAAAATGTTGCTGTCTGGTGCACTTGTGACATTATGAGGAATTAAAAAGTGCAACGGTTTGTACACCACCTCCATGTACTTTGAAAATGAAAATATTCATAGTATGAAGGTAAAATTTTTAAAGTTTCATTAAATATCCTAAGGTTATCAGACAATTTTTTATTGTTTTTTTGGGTTGAGATAAAGTACGGAGGAGGAAGCATCATGGACAGCCCACCATCATCACGTGGAAAATGAATTCCAAAGTTCATCGAGGTATTTCACAGGATAATGTCATTGTGGCTGTCCAGCAGCAGGACAATGAGCCCAAACACTGAAGTAAATCACCTGCAGAAGGAAGAGTCACAGCTGAGAGATTACACAATAGAGAGGCAGGAGACATCCTGAGAATGTGGCCGAGCCGAAGCAGCTCCGTGACGAGGAATCATCCAGAACATCGTGCAGGAAACACGTCTTAGAGCTTCCTGCTGCCAGAAGAGGTTTGTCCTCTTATTAACCCCAAGGGTTCACTGACTGTTTCCCCTCCAGTACTAAGAATTCTCACAGTTCAGAAAAGACATGCTAGATTACAGCTGATTGTGTGTTACTATTTTAGGAACATTGTGTTTGTTTTCTGTGCTTGTGGCTTAGCTGAAGATTATATCATACAGCACACATTCACACAGTGGCGTCCGTAGAGGTCTGAGAGCGCCAGTAAAACACATGAGTTTAAAATGTAATGCTGAAGTTTTGGATTAGAAATAACATCTGTTTACGTGAAAAGCTGAATCTCTGTGAAAATGTCCATGAATTTCAGAATCTCTTGCGAAACCCGATTCCCCCACATTGTCCCAGCATGATCTGACAACTCTCCAAAAAGCTTCTGATGCCAGGAATGTCTTCAAGTGTCCCCATAAATGTTCTGTGGGAACAAAGTCACATGACCGGGGAGGCAAGTTCATGCTCGTCAGCCCTTCTTGGACTTTTATTTTTTAGTCTTCAAGTCACAGCTTTAGGGTGAGTTTGGACTCATGATCCTGCTGCAGCATGAATCCTTGCATGTCTCTAAAGAAGGGAGGGTTACTTCTCCTTAGTCAGGGTGGAGCTGATTCAGTCCAGGTGTCTAATCCCAGCAGACTTAAATACTTCCAGCAGCCTGTTCTACTGAGTTGACACATTGTGCTATCATCCTTACATTCTGCTACTGACACTGATCTCTAACCAGGATTCATCGGTAAATTTTTCAATCATCTTCTGTGAAATGCTGCTGTATCTTAACCCACTCCAAGTGTTTGTCCTCGTTTCCCCTCCTGTGAAATGGTTTTCAGATGTTAATCACCCTCTCAGAGCTGCACATCCTGCTTCCAACAGAACGTTTGCCGTTTGGAGTCCTGTGTTCTCTGTTTAGCAAATTCCGCATCTGTGATCAAACTGTTGCTGCTGTTTTGACTGACCAGCTGCATAGTTATGCAAGTCTGCATCGTTGTTTTACAGCTTCAGAAAGTGGAAAAGAGGTTGTGGTGACCTTCTCCAGAGAGCACAGATGTCAGGCAGCACTCACACTTATGCACGAAGCTGCAGTGGAGGTTTTAAACCTCTGTGTTTGATAATGAACCTTAAAGTAATGTCACCAGAATTTCTTAAAGGAAGCTCAGTTCTCTCCCCACAGTTCACAGTTCACTCATCGTTCTCGAAATTCAAAAGTGGCACATGATCACTGTTTGTCCTCTCAGATCTCTGGTCACACTGCGAGCAGCAGATCTGCGGGAAAGCCGAGAGGACGCCTCAGACATTCTCTTCACAGCGTTTCAGTGGCTCCCGTTTGGGTAGAATTTACACTTTCACAGTTGAAGGACTAAAAGCGAAACAACCTTTGTCCCAGCAGCTGTACACATCTTTGTCAACCAGACGTCGGTTAACTTTACTCCATGCACTGACTAATCGTGTATAACCATTCCTCTAACATTACTTTATAACTGTGCAACAAGCGAGGACCCGTCCAACACCACTTGCGGCTTTAATTTATTTTATTATTATTAATCATGATGTGCTGCTGCCCAAATTTGCGCCACATTTTTGTTGCAAAAATATTCTGACGCAATTATTTATGTAAACATCCCCATGTTGGGTAAGGCCTTCTCATTATGTCAACAGAATACTTCTTGGTTCAGGTAAGAGCCTGGGACTAATCCACTACAGATTGTGTCGTTTACCTTTCTGATGAAGGCGTGCCGAATGCTCAGAGAGTCCCACCCACTGCCACGAGCTGCAAACTCATCACCTGTGTCGATAGTAGAACAGAAATAGGATTAGAGACTGCAAACTACATCCGTAAAGATAAAACAAATGTGACATAAAGCGCTAATTAGAGCTTAAGAGGCTCTCGTAGGCTGATTTTGCTGCCTTTGGACGCAGTTTATAATTTTTATGCTCATCTATAAGCTACATAAATAAACATAAATAGCTATATAAATCTATAAAATAAACATTAAGCTTCATAGTTGTCATATAACTGTTCTAACTTTCAGCAAGAAAGTCAGTATGCACGTTTCTTTTAGCGTATCTATTATTTATGTTAATTATGACATCAGAATTACACCAGTCATTATTTACCAGCCACCAGGTAGTTGCATGTTTTAGAAACTACAGGACCTTTTAAATGAAGTCTCATGCATGCATTTTGTCCTCACAGTTCTCCATCTATAAGCTTTTTAATTATGCCAGTGATGAGAATGACATAAAACTGGGTGGATGTTAAAATGCTGTACTTCTGGTTGGGTGCAGCTTGTTTTTGCCAACTGGTTCAACGAGCCAGTGAAAGAGTTCTAAAATGTCAGGACACAGAAAGTTCCATCACAGTGTTTGTTTTATCAATCTGAACACTGCCACTTCCTTACCAGAGCTCAGGATATCTGACGGCATGATGGGAGGCATGACGGGGGGCATCGGAGGAGGGTTGGGGTATCCTGCTCCCGGATGGCCGCCGGGTTGAGGCTGTCCTGGGTAAGGCCCGGGAGGATACCCCCCTGGCTGGCCTGGGAACAGAGAGGCGTTGGGACCGGTGGGGTAGGGAGCAGAGGGCTGGCCGGGCTGTGGACCACCAAAGGACGGGAAGCCATAGGCAGGGGGCGGTGGGTAGTTCCCGCCCTGAGGTGAGTACAGCGGGCCGCGGGAGTCATCGTACCCTGGAGGGTAGTCTGACCTGGACATGACGCCTGCGAGGGGGAGAAGACACAGTTTACATCTGTTTCTATGTACACAAGCTGACAAAAAACAGTAAATATGAGGCAGCATATTGAGTGACATACCACACATATTGTCTCTAAGCCATTAGTGCTGCTCAAACCAATAATAATGGGTGAAATGTGAATAAACTTGTAGTGATGAGCCCATCGAGACTCATCACACACTTGTAGCTTATCTTTCAGATCACTGTTTCGGTTTTACTCCTACAAATTGTCTCGTCATTGTGGTTTTCAGTCAGTTGGCAGCAGCGTTCAGATAAAAAGCTTCGACATACAACCTGCTCAGCAACACACAGCCGTCAGAGTAGAATATGTCGGTGAATTCAGCCGTTAAAGAGCCAGATTTCACCAAACAAACTAAAACGACTGCTATATTTTGTGATGTGCCAGGTAGCAAAAACGTGACTCCAAACAAATAGAGAACTGTATTTAACACGTAAGCTGTAAAACGTTTTGCTCTGTATCAGTCAAACTATTTATCACCAAAGTCGAGGAATCCTTGTTGCTCCTGGTAACATTCACATTACTTTCTTCGGTTTACATCATCAAAATGAATCTAAATCTGTCTGAAACTTTCATTATGATTTTTTTTTCTGTTACTTCACAAATGGGTGATGGCCTCTCAGTTTAATTTTTCAATTTTTTGTGTGGGTTGTTGCTTCACAATTTGACTTTTGAACAAAAAAAAAAAAAAAAAAATGGTTTCTGTGTTTTACAGGTGGGGCTGGACTGTACCATTACTGCTTGAGTGGGGGAGAAGTGCAGCCAGCAACAGACACAATATGAAGACTATTAAAGCTAAAGCTAATCAAATCAGACAGATATCCAATATTTGGAGCCGATATACATTACGTGTAATGTTTTAACAGCATGGAATAGCAGAGAACCTGTCATTCATACCGAGGCTTCTGATCAGATGTAATATATATATCTAAAATAAAACACAATGAGGTTGAGAGACTGACAAATCAAATTCTGAAGTAACAATCCAACAGTAAAAATTTAACTTAGAAACACTCATCTGTTTTTGAAGGAAACTTTTTTGTACATTTAATTCGCTTTGATAGTGAGAATTGAATAAGAACTGCAAAGCGTTACACAAACCCTGATCCAACGTTCTTGTTTATGTTGCGCAAAGTGAATATCATCATTACACCGGTGCAAAAAAAAATCATCAAATCCTGTCATAAAGCTGTTACACTTGTTGATTTTATCACCACAATGATAGATAGATAGATAGATAGATAGATAGATAGATAGATAGATAGA